ACCACCTTGTCGATGATGCCAGAAACCAAACCTTAGAAAAACAAAGATCAATAAAAAACTAAAACTACGGAGGGATCGGGTCCCCACTACTCTGGACACCAGCGTGGTCGGATTCATCCTATCTATTAGTACTGCTAACAGGATCACAGTACATACTTGGTCCAGCCCTTTTTTTAGGAAATCTGCTTTCTTTTTTTGAAGAACCGGATTGATATTGCTTCTAATAATAGGGACTAGCTATAGTAGGTAAAGTCAAATGTGCCTTTAAAGGAATGTGCTCTGAGCACATCCAATCTGTATTGAGATGCTTCTCAATGTGAATCCAAACGTGGATGTGTTCAGAGCACATGCCTTTAAGAGCAAAAAAAAAAAAACCGTCTTGTGCATTGAGATGTGTGTGCGAATCCAAAGGTGGATGTACTCAGAGCACATGCCCTTAAGGGCAAAAAAAAAACCGTCTTCCGCTATAGTACAGTGGTGGGTGCATTAGGCCTTGTTTAAATCTAGGGGCTAAAGTTTAGGGGTATCACATCGGGTGTCACATCGAGATGTCACATGGGAGTGTTCGGATAATAATAATAAAATAAATTACAGAAGTCATCGGTACTCCGCGAGACGAATTTATTAAGCCTAATTAACCCGTCGTAAGCACATGTTACTGTAGCACCACATTGTCAAATCATGGACTAATTAGGCTTAAAAAATTCGTCTCATAAAATAGTCACAATATGTACAATTAATTACTTTTTTAGTCTATATTTAATACTCCATACATGTGTCAAACATTCGATGGGATATGAACTAAACTTTAGAGAAAGAACTAAACAATGCCTTAATTCTGAGAAGCAGGTGCAGAATACATCAATGCCAAACAAAGCACGAAATAGATGTCCTACAACCCATGTACTCCATGTGAAGCCCTAGTCGAAGGCGGCCTCAGCCCTCAGGTCGACCGTGCCGACGTCCGGCGGGCCTCGAACCGTCAGCCTTGACGTCAGCAACTTTTCCCTACTATATAAATTGCTTGTATCCTGATTTCCAAAAGGATCGTCACGCTGAATCACATATATATATCGCCGGCACCACGCCTCATCTACTGGTTCGCCATGGATCATGCAAATGGTGGAACAAAGTTCGATCTCAAACCCTCTGTCGTCTAGTAGACAAGAGCAGGAAGAAGACGAATCGCTATATGTCACCGTGTGGGCCTTGTGTCATTCATGCAATCAAGCTTTGGGCTTTTTTTTCGCAAGAAGAAGGACACGCAAACATCAAGAATTCAAGATTAAAGAAGAAGAAGAAGAAGATGAGAGAGAGAGAGAGAGAGAGAGAGAGAGAGATGCTACAAGGGGGCTTACGGTCGAGACAATTGGATTTTGGAGTTGGAATGGGCCTATATTTCAATGCAGCTTGGTTTCGTATAAACACCGAAGGTTATGGACCCTCTCGTTTTGTTTTTGTCTTTTTTTTTTAGCAAACCCTCTCGTTTTGATGGAGCCGGGGAAGCGCAAGAGCAAAATTCGGTCCAGCCCATCCGCTCCCGACAGCGGTCAGAAGCCACGCGCGTGGGGGCGTATCCCCTGGCCCCTGCACGCCGTCGCAGAATCTCGACAATCCACGCGCGGCGGTTACTGTACTGGACATGAGAAGCCATGATATGATCTTCCGAGGCGTTGAGCGCGTGAGTGGCTTTCTGCACACTCGGAGGCCGAGGCCCCGTTTGGAATCGAGGACCATGGGAAGTGATATTATTTTGGAGAGGGAGAGCTGAGCCAGAGGGCACAGGAAAGTATTTAAGGGGTGTCCCAAATGGAACCAGAGGCACAGTGACGTCAGCAAAATGAGGAGATTTAGCATTTCTTTGAAATTTCTCCATTCCAAGCCAGGCCTCAGGTTATCCTGTTCTCTCCCCCTCTCTCGGCTTCATCACAACATGAAAAAGAAAGTTCACGCTACACTCGTCAATCTAGACTCAGGGTGGGCACATTTTAACCGAAGACCGAAAACCGAACCGAACCGAAACGAAACAAAATGTCGGTGTCGGCTTCGGTTTCCAGGTGGAACCGAACCGTAACACCGTGAAACCTAAATCCCAAAGCGTCCAGGCGTCAGTACACGTGAACACGCCACCCCTCCCTAGGCTCCCATGTATCCTAGTGACCTAGCCCAACCCATGGCCCAGCTTACCGCATGCGTCCCTGAGAAGAGAAGTAGAGAACAACCCCATCCTCCACGGCCCACTCTCGCTAGGTCGTTCTTCTCCCGTCCAAGTCACAAACCCTAGCAACCGATGCTTCCTATCCTCCTGGCGGCGGCGCGAGCAGGCGCCGCGGAGCAGTCGTGACCCCGCGACAACGCGAGCAGGGGCACGCGTAGCGGCGGCGGCTACTAGCGACGCGGACAGGGAGCGGCGCGCGAGCGGCAGCTGCGTGCTGCGGCGGGGCGCGGGCCGCAGCGGCGAGCTGCCCCAGGAGGCACCGAGCAGCTAGCAGCGCGGCATCGAGCGGCTCGGGCAGCGGCGGCGGCAACTGCAACCAGCGAGATTCGGTTAGTACGTTTTAAACCGAAAAACCGATGTAGAAAACCGACACTGAATTCGTCGGTTTCCTGTTCTTAGGAGAACCGATCGGTTTTGGATTCTTGAGAACCGAAATTTTGCCAAACCAAACAAACCGAACCGAAGTATTGGTTTAAACCGATTGCCCAGTCTGAATCTGGACCCAGAATCCAGTATTTGGGCTTCTGGTTCCATTTGGGCCGGGCTTGCAGCTCTTGGGCCGGTCGTGAGGTCCAGCAGCTTCTGGCCTATTGCTTGGTGCCGAGTCCTCGTTTCCGCGTACGGGCTGCTTCAATGCCGACTTCTTGTTTCTGCTAGAGCTAATGGGCCCCGGATCCGAAGGAACAGTGACAAAAGGCAGACAACATACATTCTGCGGCTGAATCAGATAACCAGATTTGTCACGCCTCGCAAACAATCTTTCATTGATATAAGAGACAGTTCGTCGGTGTACACTAATCGAGGACAATGGCAATGCTGAGGGTGGTTATTAAAGTTTGATAAGCAGTCGCCAATGGGAATTCTGAAAACACTGAAATAGTCACAATGACAGAGCAAAGGAGGACCAAAAAATAAAGAAAAAGAACACATAAAGCACTTTATGCAGTTCACGTGCCCAGGCATTTCGCTGAAGTCAGTACCATAGCTTTTTTTTTTTGAGTGGATGAAGTCAGTACCATAGCTAGCATCGATGCTTGTGCACTTCGCTTGCATGCTAGGGCCCGGCCTCGGACACATTTCTATCAGCCCTGCCCATTTCAGTGCAGCTTGGGCTACCCGTTTTGTAAACACTGAACGTGATGGACCCTCTCGTTTTCATTGGGCTGCAGAAGTGCAACAGAAATGAATTCGGCAGCGGTCACCACCAGCCTGGGGCATCGCCGTCGCAGATCCTCCACAGCCAGCGGTGGCGTCCATTGCCTTCGATCTCCACTTCCTGTCGGCGCCGCGTGGACATGCCAGCGCGCCACTCCACAGCTGACACGTTCACCTCCACACTCCAGGCCCGCCTGTCGGCCACGCACTGCCTCTGCCTTCCGACGCGCTTGCCCTGCCATCCCAAGCGCGGATCGGCGAGCGCAGAGAATAGAGCGTGCCTGTTTTTCTGCAGGAAACAGAAACACTACTGCAAACAACAACATTTCGGCCTGCTACTGGCTACAGTACATCGCAGAAAGTGAAACTACGCAGCCCGTGCTCAACATTCAGTCAAATGGATGGAGCGTCCTGATGTACAGCAGCCAATTGCCAACATTTTGGCTCTCTGTTTCGTAACCAAGGTACCAATGATCACATACATCTGTTGCCAGCAACGGGAAGAGCACAGACAGAATCCGTGTCACGCACGGAGCAGACAGCAGAGAATGGCATCAAACTCCATTTTATGAAATATTTGTAGATTAGCATTTGGTCCAAGCTGAATAGTACATAAAGGATCAAGTTTATGTAGGTGCCTCAAGTGCAGAATACGGTACGAGTACAGGAAGCAGCCAAGCAGGAACATCGTCTTTTACAAACAAGTGAAACACTGAATCGACAAGGCTGAAACTGAAATGGAACATGACTACCATCTGCGTGTTCTGATGGACTTATTTTTTAGATGGTACATATAACGGCTCAACAAACCTCATAATATAACCACACATAAATAGCAAACAGAGCACAAATAGTCTTCGCAGCAACCGTATGGCATACATACACTGCTGCTCTGAAACGAGGTAAAGCAGCAACGGATGGCCGTCGAACCAGAAACTTTGCTTCACGAGATGCTCTCCGAAACTTGATCATTTATGCTGCAGAGTTTAAATGGATATCACTATATCAGTTCTCAACATTCGGATGTAACTGTTAGAGGTGAATGGTAAATAAATGTCCTTCTGCTAACCGAAAATAACTACGACATGAGGAAGACCAACAAATTGCCTTTTTTTTTGGAAGTTTTAGGCAAGAGCCTCAACCAGATTTGGTTTGTGAATAGAAACTAGGGGATGCAGCACTGTCACAGATATTTATGCAAAGGGGGTGAAGATTGATACACAGTGATCTTATCTTACTAGGACTAGTACTAATTGGACACTATAAAAGAGGCTCAAGTTAATCCATATGAGATGTTTTGGACAACAGTGAATTTTAGAAATTCTCAAAATATCAGAAAGATTTGGCCATCAACTAGTAACACTAATAATAATTAATTAAGAGTGTACTCTACTGCCTAAAAATGTCTCTGTTTTGATAAAATCTGAAAGAAGTATTTTGAATAAAAGGTATAATAAGCATTAGAGGTTTAAAGTAGTGCCTCTAACTAGTAACAGTAAGGATGTAGTAATAACGAACTTCTAATGGTATGTCTCTTAAAGTTTTTAGCCACGTATTGATAAAGTACTGTAACACTAATAAACTGCATCAGTTATAGATGAACTGACCAGAGTGCTGCTAGCCATGATCAGGACACCACCCTTGAAGAAGGTGGCATGTCAATGTCCATCTCCATCGCAGCACTGCAGAGCTCGGTGGACGCTGGAGAGGGGTTTGCAACTATTGCTTCTTTCAAAGAATTGTCGTCTTCTCGTTTTACATGCTTCGAATCAGAAGAACTGGGTTTGTCAACTGAATTTGATTCGACCCTTGAGATCGAACGTTTCCCTCGCATGGTGGAGGAGCCAGTCTCAGGTACTGTTCTCTCCGTGGCAACATATTTCACCATAGACCCCGTGCCATTCAGATCAACACTTTTCAGATACAAAACTCTTGGTCTCTTTGGATGCTTCTTAGCTGCATCTTCCCAATCAGTTTTTGTTTCCTGCTTAACCTCAGAGTCAAGTGCAATTTCCTGGAGAATTTTGTGCCATTTGATTTCGATGCCAGATAGCCCATCTAAACCATGATTGAGAAGCCGAAGTGAGAGGAGATTCGGCAAAGCTCCTTCGTCAATCTTGGGGAGGCTTGCACATTGAACAAGGCATAGGCGTAGCAGTCCTGGAAAATCGTCACTTGTGATGACGAAGCCTTCAAGACTGACTCCATCCAATCTGAGGGACTCCAAATCACTGAGCTTGCGCAGGTCTGATAGGTCTTTTTCCGTCAGATCATTAGTCGACGAAAGGCACAACTCCCTGAGACTCCACAACACCGTAGTAAACTGAACCAGTCCCCTCAGCTCTCCATGTAGTTTCAGGGACCTGAGGTTACCATATGCTAGAGAACGCAAGATCCTTACTGAAAATTTCCCAATATCTAATGACAGAGAACGAACACAAACACCTGTGTCCAAGTCAGCCTGCACGAAGTTTTCAATAGCCACCAAAAGGCCATCAAGGCCCTCATCAGTTGTCGAGTTGCAGCATATCTTAACCTTTTTCAATATCTTCATATAAAGCATTAAGTTTGAAAACCCAGGGTTATTGTCTGTGACAAATCCTGCTAGCGTTTGCAGATTGCTTTTTTCAGGCACATACTTTTGTGGTTCACTTTTGTCCCAGTCCCTCTTATCAAGCTTGAACCTTCCCAACAGATGAGCTAGGTGGGGCAGCTTGATGACTTCCACGGGTAATATGATAACTTCCTTTGTCTTCCTCATGTCGAGGGTCTCTAAGCAATGTAATTTCTCAATATGCTTCGGCAGTCTGCTTATTTTGTCCCCGACACTCAAGTATTTCAGATACCATAGCTTGTGTATTCCATCAAGATGTTTGTCCTCCAAATCCTTGCATTCTTCCAAATCCAAGACTCTCAGCAGCTGACACTTGGCAAAATACCCAGCAGCTTCACCTGCACTTCCATAGATCGTCAGAGAATGGGCACGGGATTTCTCTTCATCATCCCCATACTTGCTGTTTGGTGTGTTCTGAATAAAGAGGTGGCGGTAGTCTTTTCTCTCTTCGTTGTTGAAAGATGTAATGAACTTAGAAGACATGGACATGTACAGCAGGAACTCGTGGAAGATGCTATGAGCTCTGCAAGTCTTCACATTTGCATTCTTGCTTGTATCAATTGGCCAAATGGTACTCTGGTCAACTAGTTTCTTGAAGTTATCTTCTGCAACAACTAGAGTGCTGCGTGAATGATCATGCTTCACATATCCTTCAGCCGACCATCGCCTTATCAATCTGCTCCTGCTGATGTGACAACCATTTGGGAACACACAAACATAGAGTAAGCAGGTCTTGAGATTGAGAAAACCTTTTGGCAGGCATCTGTAGGTACTCATAAGAACCTTTTGCAGGTCCACGAAGGCATCGTCCGTTGCCATACGAAAGCCTAGGTTGCTGCAGAGTTTCTCACAGACTGATTTGGTGATCCTATCTTCACTCTGCAAATAATTTGCCAAGGTAAGAAGAGCATGGGGGTGGCCATCACATTTATTCATGATTGACGTTGAGCTCCTCTCCAAATCAGGCGAATGCCCCTTCAATACAGCTTTCAGCAACTCCTTGGAATGCTTGTTACCTAGAGCTTCCATATTGTGCACATAACCGTTCCCACGGCTGCACACTTTAGCTACTCTCTGAATTGTTGTTGTCACAATTATTCTTCCTGTTGCCTTTTCAGGGAAGGCAGATTTGATACCGTCCCACCATGTTTGAGTCTTGATGTCATCAAGTACAATAAGGTACCTAGCAGATTGATTGATAAAATGAAATGTTAGTACAGTTATCATTCACTAGAATGAGGGGTCAATTTGGTACATTAGCCACTAATAATGGTGAGCTTGAAGGAAGCACATACACCATTGTAATTCAATCTGTTGCACACAGTGGCAGATTAAATATTTTCTTTTGTTTATTAGGCACCCTAAAGGCCACTGTCTTATATATCATTGATTTATATACACAAAGAGTGGAGTAAAAAATAATAGAGACAACTGCTCCACTTTTTTGTCAATAAATCGTAGGGGCCTCAGAAAAAAAGTAGAAATATTGTATCCAAGCTCTTCTTTAACACAGAACAAATGCAGGGTCACTTCTTTGCTAAGCCTATGCTCCCATAAAAATAAATGGAATAAAGGTAAATGGAGAACAAAATCATTACCTCTTAGTTCCCTTCAGATACTCTGAGATCTTGGCCTGGAGCTGTTCAACGTCTAAGTCAGAGATCTTGTCTCCCTGGCCAAGCTTCTGAAGTAACTCCATGAGGAGTCCCTTGGCATCACACCTGTGCTTCGACGCCACAATCCAGGATCGGTGACGAAATTTGTGGGTGACATCGGGGCAATCATATACTGCCTTCGCGAGCGTGGACTTTCCAGATCCACTGAACCCGACGATGGAGATCACGCTCAGCTTCTCCGGCTCGCCCTCCACATCCTTGGTCGCCCACTCGCAAATCTCTTGCTTGGACTCGTCGATGCCCACAGGTTCGATCTTTGTTGTGTATGTGTTCGCTGGGGGCGTCGAGGAGTGGGAGATTTGGCGGCCATTGATGTCCTTGTCGTGGTCGCTTCTCCGCTGTTTTGCATCCTTCAGCCTCTCCTTGAGTTTTTTTACCTTGGCATCTAAGAGTGGCTCGGTGGTGAATCCGAGGGCCTTATGGAGTGGGCTGCCATTTTTTTCAACAACGTGCCGCAGGATCCGATCGAGGAAGTCCTCGATTTCGAGTGCCAGATCATGCATCTCTTCCCGGTATTTGCCCATCACGGCACTCAAATCGACCTCTTCCGAAAGCTGGTCCTCCTCATCTCCGGCGATCATGAGAAGGTCTCTCCTGATGGATTCAATGTCATTATCGAAGTCCGACCAAAGATCATAGCGCTTACCTATAAGCTTGATGACCACTGACACCACGTTGCTCGTCACAGCGCCCAGCAGACTGCCCACCAGGGGGGCCACCATGGCAGCAACCACACCTCCCTTCAACTTCAAGCCACTGGTTCATCAGCGGCCGGATCACTCTCGTGTGCACCTCTCCATGTCCATGCTTATGCTAGACCGCTGTCAACTCAGGGTAGATGGATGAAAGATATATGATGAACTACCGTTAGAAACCAGTTCCTGGCTAGCAATGAAAAACAGGTAGGGGTGTGTTCTTTTTTTTTATTCCCAAAATGTTTGTGGCCTTCAAATTCCTCACCCCTAGCTGATTTTTTTAGAAGAAGGAATAATTCTAGACGCCCTAGCTGATAGTTGTACAGGATATCTCTTTCATGGAAAGCACAAAGTAGTCAAAATGTCATTATGATAAGATACCTGCCATGTCCGTTTCATGTAAAATATCAATGATATTAGGGCCAAATTTTTACAACATGGACACTGTAGCACATTTCGTTTGTATTTGACAAACTTTGTCCGATCATGGACTAACTAGGCTCAAAAGATTCATCTTGTGATTTACAACCAAACTGTGTAATTAGTTATTTTTTATCTATATTTAATGCTCCATGCATACGTCTAAAAATTGATGTGATAAAGAGAGAGTGAAAAAACTTAGAATTTGAAGGTGATCTAAACAAGGCATAGCCCTCCACTTCCATCAATTGGTCTGTAAGGACTGCCAACAAAGTGCCAGCTGGGTGGGGCGGCCGAGGCGCCAGGGAAGCACCGTGGTCAAGCAGGGGCGGCGGCAGAACCAGCGGAGTGGGGCGGGATGGCGATGGCTGAGTGCACCCGCGCCGTTGCAAAGAAGATACGTCGTGGGCTCCTCAAATCACGTGAACGGTCGTGCCCGGTCACGCCTTAGGCCCTGTTTGGTTGGGCTTTTGGCTTTGGCTTTTGGCCCCAAAAGCCAAAAGCCCAATCAAAGGGGCTGCTTTTGGAGGGTGCTTTTTCAGAAGCTGCTGTTTTTCCGTAGTTTATTTTTGAAAGCTGGGTTGACCCTGCTTTTGGCTTTTCGAAATTGGTGGAATAAAAAGCTCTTCCATAGTTGTTTCAAGAGAGATAAAGATAAAAGGTATATTTTATACTTGTTTAACCAAACAGCTTTCAGCTTTTCTACAGCTCACAGCCCACAGCAGCTTTTCCACAGCTCACAGCCCACAGCAGCTTTTTCCCACAGCCACAGCTCAACCAAACAGGGCCTTAACGCGGTCCAACTCGAAAAAAAAAACTCGATTCAGCCTGTAGCGGTGGTAAAACCACGTTATGCAGATTATTCTGCATTTTGCTCCTGGTTTAACCTGTTGGATTGTTTTGGGGAAGGAGTTAGCTGGGGATGGTTGCATTCGGACAGCGTCTATCGTGCCCAACAACTGCTTTGGCCCTTGAGCTATATATGTTTAATTATTTTAGTTGCCCTCTCAAAAAATATATTTTAGTTGCAGTACTTTTTTGACAGCGAGATGCCAATTCATCGGCCGATGCCATAAAGGACGGGTTCATAGGAACAATGCCATTTCTATATGTCACCGTCCATAGCCAAATGATAGGGTCCCACGAAAGCAATACAAATTCTTTCTTCCTATAATGTAGTAGACGCAGTAGTGGGGAACTTCACCGTCCATCGATTGCTTTCGAGGGCCTATCCTAGAGTGTAGTGGACGCACAATCAGCAATCAGCTCTTACCACTTTTATAGGTCCACAATCCACTAAGGATACGATATAGGCAAATTCAATAGACAGAAGAGAGAAAATAGAAGTTACCCATATATTCCTGCTTACCATGCTTTGACTGGACTTGATTGTGCGAGGCCAGCATTGGATATCTTCGGTGAAGTTCTTTTTTCCTGCAGCATCATTATCATTTTCATTTATAGGATTCCGTTCCTTAGTATTGATCAGTACATAACTAGAACAATTGATCTCTGATCGTTGCAGACAGAATGATGGAACCTCTGAATAGCTGTTCGCTGGGTGCCATGGGATCCCTTCTCAGAAAGCTCGATGAGCTACTGCGTACTGAAGAGAGGGCAAAGGGACTCATAGGCGATCTTCGCATCATAAGCACCAAGATGAAGAAGCTATCAGAGGTACACAGCCCTCCCCATACGGTGAAATACTGGATGAATGATGCGCGTGAATTGTCCTACGACATGGAGGTCTGCGTCGACCTGTTCGTCCATGCCAGCCAGCCAGAAGATGTGCCAGCTAAGGTAGCGGGGATTTTGGCCTGGATTAAAGAGATCTTGGGATTTGAGGCTCGCGTGAAGGAGGTTAACGAAAGATGTGAGAGGTACAATCTTGTTAACAGATACGTACTTCTCAGTAATCCGGCAAAAATTTTAGTGAGCCGTCATCTTCGAACTCAGTACGAAGAACCCGATCCTGTCGGCATGGAAGAACCAACAAACAAGATTCTTGAGTGGCTGATGCCGAAAGGACATGGTGAAGAAGACCTCAAGCTCAAGGTTGTTTCCGTTCTTGGTGATGAAGGAGCCGGGAAGAGCACGCTTGTCAAAAGAATATGGCGTTTATCTGAAGGGAAGTTCGACTGCCAGGCTTTCGTGCGGACGGCAAAAAAGCCTGATACGAGGATGATTCTCAGAAGCATACTCTCACAAGTTCGCCCGAAGCAGCCACTAAAAGTCTGCAAGGTGCCAAAACTCGTTAGCGATCTAAGGGAACATCTCCAAGATAAGAGGTTCGAAAACTATGCCTAGACAATTAGTTGAATACTTTTAAACTTGTTTCTAACCCTTTTCAGTGATCCGGGTGCGCACATACCACACTATAGATAGAAAACTCACTCTAACCCAATCTTATTTCAAAGACCAAAAGACAGACATGCCATAGTAGGTAAATACATTTTAAGCTTTTATCTTAATTCTCACTAGATTCACTAGAAAAAAAATCATATAGCTTCTCATAAAAGCAATACATACGATCATCAATTTTGTAGTCCCAATCATCATTTGTTAGCTAGATCCAACTAACTTGAAATTATCCATGTCCTATTATATGAAGACCAAACTCTTACCATTAAATCTAAAATAGCCCTTAAATCTATATTCAAATTCCCCACACATGCTATACTATTGAAATAACATAAAAAACCCCTCTAGATCTACTTCTAAGTTATCCACCTCTGTGGTTATGGAAAAAAAACAAAATACCTAAATGCATATCATACTTATGAATCCCTCACTTATACCTTCACTAGTATATTAAAAAACTAACTCAAGGTATACATGCATGTATGGCATAGATCATGTATAGTAATGTTGAGTGTATCAGTATTCATGGTTTAACAATTATGAAAGTTGTTTCCTTTATGGGTTACATAAACTACTAGAATCCTGAATTACCTTGAGGGCCAAGAGTTTTCTTAAGTGCCAAGAATTTTCTTAAGGGCCAAGAATCCTGAAATCATTTTTGTAGTAGTATATGTCTGTCGGTGCAGAAAGTGACCAACAAGTAAATATTTGTAGTTTTGCCATACGTTGTGATCAGAGGTGGCATAGTACTCAATGACACAGGGTTTATACTGGTTCAGGCAACGTGCCCTATGTCCAGTTTGAGTCGGTCGATGACTTTATTCCTGAACCCAGGTGCTCGAAGTTTGCAGTGGGGTTACAAACGAGAAGGAGAAAGATAGGGGTACAAGAGGTCCGGTCGGACTCTGGTCAGAGGGACCGAAAGCGACAGGAGCCCCACTATAAGCTAATTGTTTAAGCGTGTGCTTGAGGTTCAAACCTGGCGGTTCTGTGGTTGTGAATTGGCGAACTTGATCGATCTAATGAATCTGGGATCACTTGAATGTTTGGGAGAGAGCGTGTCCCCTTTTATAGATGAAGGGGATGGCCTTACAAGTGAGAGGGAGAGATTACGTATGCTTCTAAGCCTTGTTGCTCACGCCGGCAGGTATAGGATGATGGTAGGCGCCCACAATACTGTTGGATGTCGGATACACGTGGGAGGTTCCGTCGTTTGGTTCGGGTATGGTAGATGTCGGTACCTGTTATACTGTTGATGCCCAGAGGTATGTGAGGAGTTTCACCATGTTCACTCGGTACGGTAAATGCTGGCGCCTACAACACTGTTGATGCCCAGAGACATGTAGGGGGAGCCTTACCGTATGGGAGTTAATGGCGCCCACAATACTGTAGGAAAAATATCGGCGCCTACAACACTATTTGTGTTAGGGAGGTTGCAGAGTACTATTTCTGCAGGCGTACAGGGTACGGTCCCTGGTATCGTGGTTTGACTTGTGCGCCTTGTCTTGCTTTCTCCGTTCGTTCCCCGGTCCTTTCCGAGCGGGCGTCTCCGGTCGGTTGGTCCCAGTCGGCTCTGATTGCGCCAATCGGAGAAGAACAGTGAGCAGGGTTTTGCGTACCCCGGTCGAAGACGTGGGGTTGGATTCGGAAATGGTGCTTTGGCTAGGCCTTTCGGACGGAAATACCATCCGGAGGCGGGCTGGAGACCGAAGTGAGCGCTCCGGTCGGAGAGGTGGGCCGGAGTCGGAAAACGGGTGCTCCTCCTCCTCGGCCAGACCTTTCGGTCGGTGATTTGATCGCCCTTCTGGCTTGCTGTTTAGATACTTGGGTCGGCCCATGAGTTGCGCGCTGTCTGTTTGGGCCGAGCCTTTGCGGGGAAGCCGGTCCGCGAGGGACCCCGGGTTTATGAACCCGATAGGAGCCCCCGAGCAATTCGGACAGAATCGTCTGGGGGATTTTTGTCTCGACGGCGGGTGCGCGCGAGCGCACCCGCGGGTGTAGCTCCCAAGCCCCCGGGTGGTTCGGGCTGAACCGTCTGGGAAGTTTTTTGTGTTGCCAGCGGGGGAGGTTTTTGTTTTGTCAGCGGGTGCACGCGAGCGCACCCGCGAGTGTAGCCCCCGGGTGATTCGGGCAGAATCGTCTGGGGGTGTTTGTCAGCGGGTGTGTGTGCGTGCTTTTTAGTCGAGATAGAGTTATCAACCATGGCGTCGTTGCGTAGCCGAGGTGGTTAGTATAGGGATCGAACGAGATGGAGCTCGTTGATCCTGGCGTCAGTGCGCGCCGTGGGATCGGGCGAGTCGGAGTCGTGGATCTTGGTGTCGGTGCAGCCTGTGCAGCTGAGGCAGTTTTAGTATAGGGATCGGACGAGACGGAGCCAGCTAATCCTGGCGTCGGTGCGCGCCGTGGGATCGGGCGAGTCGGAGTCGTGGATCCTGGCCTCGGTGCAGCCCGCTAGCCGAGGCAGTTAGTTTTAGTTAGTTTAGGGATCGGACGAGACGGAGCTCGCTGATCCTGGCGTCGGTGCGCGCCATGGGATCGGGCGAGTCAGAGTTGTGGATCCTGATGGGGCGAGTTCGGGGTAGCAGACCCAGGTGTTTGGTGTGCAGTCGAATCATAGCTGGATGGGGCAAGTTCGGGGTCGTAGACCTAGGCGTTTGGTGTGCAGTCAGAGTGTAGCCGGATGGGGCGAGTTCAGGGTCGCACACTGAGGCGTTTGGTGTGCAGTGGAAGCGTAGCCGGATGGGGCGAGTTCGGGGTCGCAGACCCAGGCGTTTTGGTGTGCAGTCGAAGCGTAGCCGGATGGGACAAGTTCGGGGTCGCAGACCCAAACGTTTGATGTCTTGAGCCCCCGAGCCCCGTTGGGCTTTGGTAGGGGTCGGTTTGAGTTGTGTGCGTTACCCCGTCCTCGGCTTCTCACAACCGGAGGGGCTAAGTTTTGTCGCTTGTCCCGATCGCTCGGGCTCGAGTGACGCGCTCGGTGAGTTCGCTAATGTGTATGATCGAGTGGAATGCGGGTCTGTTGTTTGTGACGGGATCGGCATAGCCCTCTTGTGACATTCCACTGCTCCTTTACCTGCAACCCGGCAGATGCCTGGGTCGTTCCGGAGATCGACCCGATTGGCCTGACGACCTCCCCTCGATGGAGATTATGTGGGCTTGGCAGAGGTTTAGGATCAAACGATAAGGTTGAGATGATCCTGTCTGCCAGACTGGGCAAGGGCCGCACGGGGCTCATCTGCGTTTTTCTCCCCTGGCTCTATTTGACATGGGGCGGCCTCGAGCCCTTCGTGGGCCGGCCTTCGAACCCCGGTCGATCGTTGCTCATGTCGAATGAGGCAACTACCGCTTCGTTACGCAACACGGAGCGTTGTGATACGCTTCGCTGCATGTGCGATGCTTAGTTCCCGAGCCCCCGGGCGGTTCAGGGCCTAAATCGTCCGGGGGGCACGGGCGTATGGAATGAATGCGCGCATGGATGTATGAAATGATTATAAATAAATAGAGGGGGTCGGTAGTGTTACCTTGATGACTCGAGTGATGGGGTTTGAAGAGCTCCAGTCGGAAATGTTCGACCGGGACCCGTGCTCGTCGTTCGTGACGGAGTCGGCATGGCCTACATGGGACGTCCCTTCCCTCCCTACCTGTCTCTCGGTGTTCTTTTCTGAGCCGTTCGATCGACTTAGGAAGCCCGATGGTCTCTCCCGGCGGAGGTCCCGTTTTGGGTTTTTCCAAGTCCCGCCTGGGGAAGCGGAGAGCTGCCTGCGTGTGGTGATGCTTCGGTTTTCGCACCTGGTCATGCCATAGTGGTGGGCCATACCCAGGCCACGTCTCGTCTCACCAGGCGGTGTTCCATCGGTCAGCTTGCGTCCCATCGGTCAGGGTGTGTCCCATCGTTTCCCATCCGCATTGAATGGGGGAAGGGAGAGAGCTTTTTGCTCTGATCTTTTGCCCCTCTTCGGCTGCCGCATTTCTTCCTTAAATAGGGGGAGGGAGAGGGCTCTCCATCGCAGTCCTTTGCCTATTCTCCAACTATTGTCTCTCCTCCTTCCTCTTCCTCACCGAGAGTGCCTGTATGCCGTGGAGGTTTCTAAGTGAGAGAGGGGGTGAGCGAGGAGGAGGACTTACAGATTCTTTCGTGAATCTAGAGCGCGATGTCGAGCTGGAGGCTGTCTGGGGCGGTGCTGGCCATCTTTGCCTGAGAAGGGACGGCTTCCGCCGAAGGGGGTGGCGTGCTGGATTCATCTGCGAGGCCTTCTTCGGGATGGAGCTGTGTGTGGACTTTCTCCGGTGGATCTTCATCGGGTGAGCCTTGTCGGAGGGGAAGTAGCTCAGGATCGTGCTGGTGGAGGGTTCCACGCCTGCAGCTGCTCAGGTTGGCCAGTTCATAAATTTTGATGAGATCTCTTTTCAGCCATAGTGGCCATACCTCGGTAGCAGCGTCCCTACCCAGGAGCTGTCTCGACTACATGAGAAGGTCAGGAGCTCCATGTTCTTCTGTTGAGCATCTATGGGTGCGACGCTCTTAAGGTACCCGTTGCGTTCGCCGAAGTCGAGGGAGCGGAACCGGGCGTGTCGCTCGACGGTGATTATGTCCGGCGGCGTGTGCCGTGGTTTCTCCTTTGGCGTTCAGGCGATGTCGTCGAGCGGCCGCAGTAGGATTTGGAGTAGTAGTGGAAAATGTAATAGTTGAGTTCGTGGGTGAGTCCCTGTGTGAACAATTATTTGTATCAATGAATACATCAGCTCTGTTCTTGTGATAGAACCACTATCCGTTCCTTGTTTTTTATCCTAGCATAAATTTTGTTTTTATCATTTTGTTTTTCGCACCTGCCCATTAGTTCCATAGGCTGCAGCTGTTAAGAACCTGGGCATGGCCCACGGGGCTCGGCTATTTATAACCGTAGGTCGTGGCGGGGTGCGTTCGGTCGAGAATAAGAACAGAGTCACGTAGGGCAATCAAAGGAATGAGATGTGCTTCCGTTCAGGGACAAAGTTGTTTACCATGTGACAGTAAAAAAGAGATGTAATATCTAGTATTGTACCCTTATGGAGCCCCCGAGCGATCCGGGCTAAAAATGTTCGGGCTGGGGTGCTTTTACAGGAGCAAGTGTTCACTAAAAAAGTGGCAAGACCAAATTTAGGGGAAAAACGACATAGCTGTTCAATGTTCCAAGTGTTGGTGAGAACGTTGCCGTTGTTGTCCTCCAGTCGGTAGGTGCCCGGTCGTTGGAGACGGAAGTGGTGCTTTGGCCAGTCCTTCTGGTCGGAAAGGCCGTCCGGAGGCGGGCTGGAGACCGAAGTGAGCGCTCCGGTCGGAGAGGTGGGCCGGAGTCGGAAAACGGGCGCTGCTCCTCCTCGGCCAGACCTTCCGGTCGGTGATTGGATTGCCCTTCTAGCCTGCTGTTTAGATACTTGGGCCGGCCCATGAATTGCGCGCTATCTGTTTGGGCCGAGCCTTTGCGGGAAAACCGGTCCGCGAGGGACCCTGGGTTTATTAACCCGACAATGCCACTTACAATAATTTGCACGCATGGTAAAATATTTTGTCAACAAACATTGCTCAGTGGTGTCCAAACATGCCATGTTATTTGCCATCATTAAAGTTATAAATCACAATATTTGTGTCACCCAACACTGACCCCATAGTATACATAATACGATAAGCAATCTTCCCATGCATTGAATTTTCATGGTTATCTAAGTATATATATGTATGTACCCAGTAATATTAAGATGTTGAAAAATATGCAATGAAATTTGAATTAGGAAATTCTAAAGCAGTTCTGACAATTTGACTAAGAATTGCAGACATTCATAACTGAGATTATTAGCACATTTTATGTCTTCAATTTCAAACTTTGACGGCTACAACATTCTATTTTATACGATTGTTGCTATGATGAAGCATGTGACATGTACAGCATTTTGTTACCAGGTATTTTATTGTAATTGATGGCTTATGGGATGTGTCAGTTTGGCACATTATTAAGCGGGCCTTTCCAGCCGGTAACCAAAGAATAATAACAACAACAGCAGTTGAGAACGTCGCCCATGTATGCTGCAGTTATGACAGTAATAGCATTGTCAATGTCAAATGTCTTGGTACCGATCAAGCCAAAAATTTATTCATTGATAGAGCTTTTGGGCCTGGAAAAGGATGTCCACCACAGTTCAATGATTTCACAGATGAGATCACAAGAAAATGTGGTGGTTTTCCCTTAGCCATCATCTGCACTGCTAGACTTGTGGCAAGCCAACCAGAAACAGAACAGGAGCAGCAATTGGATTATGTCACTAAGTTTCTGCCAAACAATTTGAGTACACACTCATCTTCTATGGAGATCCTGAACCAAGTACTGAAACTGTGTTCCAGTAGTCTTCCTCATTGTCTGAAGACATGTCTGCTGTATCTTAGTGTGTATCCAGAGAATTACTTACTTCTGAAAGAAGATTTAGTGAAGCAATGGATAGCTGAAGATTTCATATGTACACCAGAAGGGAAGGACATTGTAGACGTTGCCGGCAGTTATTTTGATGAGCTCCTGAGTTTAGGCCTGATCCAGCGAAGAGATATTGTTAACTCTTACAGGAAGGGTTTGTTGTGCTACACAGTGCACCCTGTGGTATTTGATTTTATCACATGCAAATCCATGGAAGATAATTTCATCACCATCATAGATTATTCTCAGTCGACAGTAGTTCTCAGTGAGAAGGTTCGTCGACTGTCACTCCACTTTGGCAGTGCAACATATGCTACTACACCTGAAAGTGTGGAATTATCACAAGTTCGCTCACTCTCTTTTATTGGACTCTTGGGTTGCATGCCTTCGATTGCAGAGTTTAAGCTTGTTCGAGTCATGATGCTCCATATCTGTAGTGACGACGTGGACATGAGGTTTTCACTTTCAGAAATATGTAACCTGCTCCAGCTAAGATATTTGCAGGTCAGGTGCAACGTCACTGTGGAATTGCCAATCAAGATGCAGTGTCTAAAACACTTGGAAACACTAGAAATAAATGCAGGGGTAGAATATGTTCCATTGGATATTGTCCATCTTTCAAGATTGCTGCACATCCACCTTGGAAAAAAGTCAAGTCCAAATCCGGCTTTTTCCTTAGTTGACTGGAACTGGTTACCCTGTTCTTCCATCTCCCTTCGGAGTTTTGAGTTGCTGCATCCCATTTGCATGTTTTCAAGGCTGCCCCTGTGGTTTCGTCAACTACACAAACTCCGTAGAATGGAAATTGTGGTCAGACAATTGTCGGACGACATTGATGTCCTAGCGGAGTTACCGGTTCTCAAACATCTGTCCTTGTACGTCCGAACACCACCCAATTTAGAAATAATCTTCAGCAGAGGAATGTTCCCAGCTCTCGAGTATTTCAAATTTGCCTGTGGTGTGCTATCGCTGGGCTTTCAGAAAGGAACACTGCCCAATCTTCGTTGGCTCAAGCTAGTCTTCAACGCCCACAAAAGGGAGCAGTACGGTATTCCTGTGGGCATCAGGCACCTGTTAAGCCTCCAGAAAGTTGTTGCAGGCATTGGGTTAGCTCCTGGTGCTGGGGAATCTGACAGGATAGCTGCAGGGTCTGCGTTCAAGGATGCAATTATACAGCATCAATGTCACCGAAGTTTCGAGGTGGTGGTGAAAAGGGTGGATCAAGTTGACGAGGAAGGATCCTCAAACGAACGTGGGCAAGTGCCACTGTGGAAGCTGGCGTTCCGGACCCCGCCGCAGCTCCCGGTCTTGAAGGGGAGCAAGATCGAGGACGAGGCTGGGAACCCGCTGGAGGTGATCCTCGTGGACGCGGACACCGGCTCGCCGGCCGTGCTCCCTCAGGCGCTGCACGTCGAGCTGGTGCCGGTGTTCGGCGAGTTCCCGCCGGAGGGCCGCGAGGACTGGTCCGCCGACGAGTTCCATAGGAACGTCGTCAAGGAGCGCCATGGCAAGCGCCCGCTCCTGACAGGCGACGTCAGCCTCGCCATGAGGGACGGGCGCGCCACGGTGGGCGAGCTCCAGTTCACGGACAACTCGTCCTGGGTCCGTTGCGGCAAGTTCCGCATCGGGGCGCGCGTCGTGCCAGCAAGCTACGACGGCGGCAGGATCGTTGAGGCCATCACCGAAGCCTTCGTGGTCAGAGACCACCGTGGTGATCTGTATCGGAAGCACTACCCTCCCGTCCTCGGTGACTCAGTGTGGAGGCTGGAGAAGATCGGCAAGGAAGGCGCGTTCCACATGAAGCTGAGGTGCAACGACATCGGGACTGTTCAGGAATTCCTATGGATGCTAGCGGTCAAGCCTAACGAGCTGCGAGCGGTAAGTTTCCATTCTTCAGGGGAATGCTTTCACGGACTCTCGGTCTCTCGCCGCCGACTGGTTTTGACTCTCTTTGAGTGCTCTGTTTTGTGGGATCAGATTCTGGGCGACGGCATGACCGACCGTATGTGGGAGGCGACAACCAGCCACGCAAGGACATGCGTCCCCGGCGACGAGGTGTACGTGTACACAGCGGGTGGCAGCACCATCTACGTGAACTCTGTCTTCAACCTCGTTAAGGTCAAGATCGGCGGCACTGAGTGCACCTTACAGCAGCTGAACAGAGACCAGACGGTGAGTGAGTTGATCGATCATCTGCCTCCTTGAGCTGGACATCAGAACTCTTACATTACATTTGCTGTCTCGTGCAGATGTTGTTGGGGCAGCTAATTCTGGAGGCGTACGAGCACCGCTACAACCTCATCGAACTGGGGACGCGCTACCCTCCCTCCCTTGGCGACTCAGCGTGGGTGCTCGAGAATATCGCCAAGGAAGGCGCGTTCCACAATAGGCTGGAGCACAACAACATCAAGACTGTTCAGGACTTTATAAGGATGCTAATGGTGAAGCCTGACGAACTACGTGCGGTGAGTTTCCATTCTGGAGGGGGATCGGAACTCTGGCCGTGCATGCTTGTGTTTGAATGCTCTGTTTTGTGGGATCAGATTCTGGGCGACGGCATGACCGACCGTATGTGGGTGGAGACCAGCAGGCACGCGAGGACCTGCGTCCCCGGCGACACGGTGTACGTGTACGCAGCGGATGGCGGCACCATCTACGTGAACTCCGTCTTCAACCTCGTTAAGGTCGAGATCGGTGGCATTGAGTGCCCGTTGCAGCAGCTCAACTGGGACCAGATGGTGAGTCTCTATATATTGTCTATCATATCATCTGACAGCTATCTTGATCGTCATATCATATCGCCAGAGGTGAGGTGACAGACTTTTCTTACAAAACCACTGTCTTTCACGGTAGGCGTTGGTGCTGCCGCTAATTATGGAAGCGTACGAGCACCGCCACGACCTCGAAGAGACCAGTGCGGTCACATTCGACGGCGACGCCACCGACAACATTGCACTGCTCCGCGGTAAGTATCTGAAGTCTGAGCTGGCCTTCTCAAATGTCACATTTTGTGACTTGTATAGAGATCGATATCCTTTTTCTCACCTCTGTGCTCTGGCAATTCGCAAATGCAGCACGTTTTGCGGCGCACTCGCGAGCGGACATGAGGCCAGTCATCAACAACTTAGTTCCCAGTCCCTGGATCATACAATAGTAAGCCAAGCACATGAGCCAACACACAGTATAGTTAAATGTAGATACCAGGGATCAGTGTTCATTCCTGCCTTCTTTCCGTCAGTCTGCCAACCACTTTGCAAAAACCATTATCTGTTTTCTTTCTCGCATTTTCCTATGACTTTCTACTCCAGAACTTGTTTGCTGTATGCAATTCCTCATTCACACTCAAACTTTGAAACTTGGTTTGGGTTCGCGTTCCCAACTTTCCACCCCTCCATTCTCAAGTGCACAAAAATATACTGTACTACCAAATAATGCTTTTTCGAAAGATCCAGTTGCCTGGCTTTCATTGATAAGTAGAGGAGAAATATTTTTTACAGTACTCCCAAATATTCGCACACAAATAATTTAAGTAGTACTCCGTAGTTAATATATGCACAAACTCATACTCATTTCTTTAGAACTCATTTTGAGTACCCCAAGTGGAGGAATATCTCAGGCTAACATACGGCCTTCTTAGGCTAACAAATATCTCATGAATATAATAACTGCTTAAGACAAGTTAGTTAGAAAGTATGAGACTCACATTTTTTTGTCAAGCCTTATAAGCATTAATTCCTAAACTCATTTACATTTTTTGTCAAGAGATTTACATTTTTTGTCAAGCCTTGTAACCATACATTGACAAGAGATTTACAATTGTTATCAAGCCTTATGGGGTCAATGACGAAAACCTGAACCCACTTTAATTTAAGAAGTGGACACCATAATATGTTCTCAAAATATAAATGGTTAGGCACCCATGCTTTAAAGTTCCAATGCCCTTCTTTGTTTAGACCCAATTTGTGAGTGGTTCTGGTTCCTTGGCACGGAGGAGCCAGAGCCACTGAAATCCTAATTCATTTCGAGAAGAGAGATAAAACAACTTCTTGCTGCATGATGCCTAGAGGAACCAGAGAGCTGGTACACCAAAAATAGTGGTTCCAATGAAATCCTAGTTTATTTTGAGAAGAGAGATATGACACCTCCTCGGTAAATAGTGCCCGGAGGAACCAGAGCCGAAGTACCAAGCAGGGCATTAATATTATTTCAAAAGCATACAACAGTAGCGGAAATGGCCATATTACGGAGCCCATGTCTTTTTATGAGAGCATTCCTAGCAAGGAAACTCACGATTTGGCATAATATTGTTGCACGTGTGGATCATATATTACTAACCTAAATAAGGATTTGGATCCTTTTGTGTGGATTTACCAAATTATGACAAATTCACACTCAAGCCAATCTATGGTTTTCTTGTGAATAACGGAATGAAGGTTGCACAAAAGGTTGACATCTGGAAGTAACTCCCAGAAAAAAAAAATCTCTTTTGGCTTTTTAAAGGAGGGGTCATCCAGACTACGAACAACCTAGATAGGCGGAAATGAAACAATAGTAAAATTTGTTGCTTTTGTAGTGAATTAGAAAGTATGTAGCACCTCTTCTTTGAATGTTGTTATGCCAAATGTCTATAATGTGCGGTGTACCTTGTTTCAGGTATCTCACAACCACATACATCAGCTCAGTTGTTCTGTTCTTACTCCAAGCAGTGGGTCAGAATCTTACATCGTTGTCATTGACGTGAGCTGCAACGCTTAGCTGGGCAATTTAGCACACACTAAAGGATTTTGTGTACAAAAACTTCTTTTGCAGGTTCTATTCAACAAGATGCACAGGTTTCGGTTTTGTGTGCTCTTATATAGCATACTAATGACCAGAAGGAATTGTTATCGTTAAAGGGTGTGTGAACTTTTAGAGTCGAGCTATGTAGTTCTTCACGTCTCATGGATGGCCATTTAGGATTCACATTGGTCAATAATGTTGAACTTATTTTTTTTGTTTTGATCTTAAATCAAATCTTTGTCTCATGCCTCTTCGTTGAAAAGGTTAGGATCAGGAACAAATCCAGCATGTACAATACGAAGGATTGGGGATGAGGAAATTCTAAATCACTTCAGCTATTTAGATTGGATTCTGCAGATGGGGTTAACATTTTGCATATGCCTACTATATACCCTTGTCCACCTGATACTCAGTATTGTTTGTGAGCTAAGATGCATATTTTTTATTATCTGGCTGTACTAAAATTTTGGGATCTATGCATCAATTGGCGCTGAGTTGTGGTCTGTAACACAGGCATTGCATCATATCAAATCCCAATCATATATGTGCAAATGGCTGCTGTGCACGAATCTAATGTGTTGCCACGATCCTTTGTTTTTTCCTTTTTTAAAAAAATAATGCTTGTGAGAGGTGAGAACGTCTGTACGTGACAACCCACGCTCAATGGAATAACGATGTGTGAGACCCAGCCCATTGGGCCAGTTGGGCCCGACCGAATTCTCGGCACTATAGTGATGAGGTACTGTAGCTTTGGGGTGCTGTATCATCAGCACAATATTCCCAGTTTAGTCCATACCGGAAATGGAACGAATGCTAGACCAGCTTAAAAGCCTGGACCTGGGAGGTAGTTAACTACGGATCGATCTTTTTGTGCAAAGCGAGGACGAAAGCGCAAGAGAGTTGATTAGCAGGTGTGGTTCATTCAACATGTAGAGTAGGCATTAGCCGTCATCCCGGGTTGGGGCGTTACAAAATGGTAATCAGAGCCGACTCTCGTGTTTTCACGGTTGCGTATGGTCCGGAAGCTTGGACAGGTTGTGCATGCCTCGGTGAGGGCATGACACTTGGCCCGGAAATTGGAAATACGGACGTGGCCAAGAGAGTCGATCCTGAACATTTGTTCCGCATGGGTAAGCTGGTTCGATAGCTCGATGAGGACGTCGAATCCTTTGAGGGTGGGTAGACGTGAGACACAGCCCATTGGGCCAGTTGGGCGAGACCAATTCGCGACACTATAGCGATGACGAAAGCCTGGATCTAGGAGGCTGTTAACTCCGGATCGATCCTTTTGCGCTGCTTGGCGAGACGAAAAGCGCAAGAGAGTTGATTAGCAGGTGTGGTTCATTCAATGTGTAGAGTAGGCCTTAGCCGTCTTCCCGGGTCGGGGCGTTACAAAATGGTAATCAGAGCCAACTCTCTCGGTTTTACGGTTGCGTAGGGTCCGGATGTCTGGACAGGTTGTGCATGGCTCCAGTGAGGGCATGACACTTGGGCCGGGGAACTGGAAATACGGACGTGGTCAAGAGAGTCGATCGTGAACATTGGTCCCATATGGGTAAGGTGGTTCGATAGCTCGACGAGGATGTCGAATCCTTTGAAGGTGGGTGGATGTGAGACCCAGCCCATTGAGCTAGTTGGGCTGGATCGAATTCATGACATTGTAGCGATGAGTACTGTAGCTTCAGGGTACCGTGGCGTCGGCACATTATTCCCAGTGTACTCCCATGCCTGAAATGTAATCTAACGCTAGACCTGCTTAAAAGCCCGGACCTGGGATGCTGTTAACTCCGGATCGATCCTTTTGCACGAAGCGAGGACGAAAAGCGCAAGAGAGTTGATTAGTAGAGTGGGCCTAAGCCGCCTTCTCGGATCGGGTGTTACACGATGTCTGTTGAATGCCAATATGCCATTAGTATCTGTAGAAATTTAGTTCAGAAAAAAATTACCGATGCCGTCTATTGTACTCCACTACAGATAAAGTTAGAGGGCATTTAGACACAGAATGGGAACAACCAATCGTTGTTTTTACGGGACAATGCACCAGGATGGATCGAGGTACCTAGAGGTGAGCTCTTGTTCAATGCAACGTGACATCGCCGAACAACAGCACCATGAAGCTCTTCCCATGACGTCTTCGAGTAGTGCTCCCGCCCATGGAGTTCCCTGTCTTGAATCCCCGGCCTGGACAGGTGGTTGAGGCTGAGATTTTTCGCCAGTTTGGTTCCTCGGTCAATTTTGATCCAGCTTCTTCTACTCAGGAATTCTTCCTTGTCTTATCTGTGGGCAGATGCAAGTTTCGCCTCTCGTCTAGCACGGTGGGGCTTCTTCAATCTGTGCTTGGTGGTTCTTCTCAAGCCTTTCGAGTGGTGCAGCTGGGAGACCGGGTTTTCAGGTTTTCGGTCTCCTCAAAGCCGGTGGGTTTTCATGTCTTCCAGCTTTGTTCTTTTGAGTGCTTGAATTTCAAGGTCTTCTTCCACCTATGGCATGGTGGTGGACCAAATTACAAGATGGAATTACGTAATTGGGGAGCAGAGCAATCCGCTGAATGGGTTGAAGTTGTTAAGCGCAACCGTCAGAATCAGCAGACTCGTCAGCAACAACGCCCGGTACGTCTATCAGGTGCAAATGCCATCTCCGGTGATCATCGTCTTCCTCGTATTTCTCCAGATATGGTGTTTTCAAATTTTAAATCTTCCAATAACCTCGGCCGGAAGTCAGTTTTCTCGCGTATTAATTCTGATTCCCATGTTAATATGCATCATTCCACGGTGCTTGGACAAATTCAATGTCCTTCTTTAATCCCCCGCGCATGCATAAGTTATCACCGGTCGGAATTTTAGGCCCAGTGCCGGAGCAATCTAAGCTCAGCCCAGGATCCAGACCTTTAATGCGTTTATGCCCCAGATGTCTGGCTCCGGCCGATGACCGGCCTTTTTGTAACGGCCCTATCCGTTGCCATAAATGTCTCAACTTCGGGCATGAATCAGGAAATTGTAATGCCACGCCTCGATCTATGTGCCTCCCTTCTGTGCCTGATTCAAGCGGCCCTTCATCTTCGGGGACTTAGAACACTTATCAGTCGCTGCCGGGTGGGCCACAGTCATCTCCACAGCCAAATTTTTACCACACTTTTGCTGAATATATTAATCAAGTCACTGGCATTCTTCCCCTCCCTCCATCGTCATTCGCTGGAGCCGAACCTGGCGTCTCAAGGCGCCGGAGTTCATCGACGAGCCGTCATCTCCTTCTTTACTACTGCCTTCAGAAGCTTCCTCAAGCATCATCTGCTCCTCTTTTGGTGAATTTGCTACTCGGATTCTTGGCATTCATTGTTCTCCTGTTTCTTTGCATATCGCCTAGACTCAGAAAACCCCAAATTCTAAGTGCCATCTACTCTGCCGGTGATGGCTTATCGCTTTGTTGATCCGAGGCCTTTTCTGCCGCCTAGAGCACAACGAGTTATGGTTCCTGGGCGTCCAGCAATGATGAGGGTTGTGACAGGCTGCATACAAGAACAGAACAATGACGTCGCCATCACTCATCTCCATCCTTTGCCACAGGAACAACTAAACTTTGACATCATCAGGAATATTCTGGTAGATTTTCTGAATGTGCAGTTGGGCATACCTACTCTGAATGTGCAGTTGGGCATACATTCGCTTTACACACTTGTTCCATAGAGATTTCCTGATTCAGAATAGTCCCCATCAATATGCTAATGGGCACATTTCGTTTATCCCCATAACAGAGCTTGGAACAATTGAACTACTGTCTTTACACATGAAGTTTGGTTAATATTGATTGGTCTCAATCTTGACCTCTGGACCCATTCCCTAGTGGACAAGGCCATTTTCCAAT